CGAAATTATCTCCAATGATTTTTATGTTGCTGAAATGTTCCAGAACTGCCGGGGTGATGACTGGGGGATTGGGAGCAGCTGTCACTCCATCAGAAACCATAACTCCAAACAGCTGGGATCTGTCAGTTATTTATGACACCGGTCGCGAGGAAAAAAAAAAAAATAAAGAAAAAAAAAATAAATGATGAAGGTGGATGGGTGGTTGCTGCCTCTCTGGCTGAAAGGCAGCTTGTGCAGAAGGCAAAGCCCTGTGCTGTGTCCCGGTGCTGGAAGCTGCAGCTGATGCTGTGGGGAGCGACCCCAGCGACGATGCTCCTGCCACCACAGGACCACGGGGCAGCACCTCCAGGGCTTTGCAGAGAGGCTGAAAACAAGCTGCTGCTCGCTGGGGAATTTAGTCTTTGTGACAGTCAGGATGGGTTTGTTTATTTTATCCTCTGTGTTGCAAAAAATAGAGGGGGGGGGGGGGGGAAACCACAACAACCCAACAACAACCCCCGCAGCTACTAAGCAGAGGTCTGACACCGCTTTGTCGAACTGTCCCAGATCTGAAGTTTGGCTCTTGGCTCGCGCCCAGTTGCCGTCACTGCTCTGGCCTTGCCTTTCATCGTCCTTCACTTGGCAGATGAAATTGTGAGCATTTGAAGCATCTTTTTTCTCCTTAAACAACAGTTTCTCTCCGTGGCGACGCAAACATCCCATCCCGAGTCAGTTCCCGAGTTTTCAAAGTGTGTTTCCCCCCCCGGGGACCGTAGCCCTGTCTTTTGTGCCCCAGTTCACTCGGGGTGGATTTAGAAAACGTCCTTTGATAGATCCAGGGTGTGAACGGGGCAGGAAAATCTCTCTCTGGAGCTCGTTGACAGCGACATGGTGGTGTTACACCAGGTGTGAATTTGGCCTCAGAAGAGGGTGAGTGATGAGTAAGCTTATGCCTTTTTGATAATCTCAGCTGCGAGCAGAAGCCAGATGCTTTGTCCCCACTTGTAGCTCACTCTGGTTAAGTATTATTATTTATATTATGTAGTAGCTATACATAGTGTTTTATGGCAGTAAAGATACATAAATCAGCAACCAGAAGACGAGGGCTTTGCTCTAAAGAGCTTATAAATCTAACAGCTTGAGCAGCACCGGTAATGGACACAGTAAGCAGGCAGTCAAGTTGCATGTAGACATGAGCTAAGATGGGTCTCCCAAAGCAGATGGCGATTTAGGAGAGATTTGAAAGGGAAGCAACCTGCTCCGTCCTCGAGACCAGATCCTGCTGGAGAATTAGGGGGGCCATGACCCATATAGCTTGTCCGGGTGGAGAGGGGAAAGTGCCCATCTGAGAAAAGCAGCTCAAAAAGAGGGAACAGGCAGGGGGTGGCCAGGGCTCGTGGTGGGGCCACCTTTTGGATCCCCCCTGGGGCTGAAGCACCTCTTCTTGTCCTAAGTGTTTTCTTCCCCTTGAGCCTGAGACTCCTGATGAAAATAAGTGGCATTACATCTTCCTAAATCAACCGAGGCCCTGCCTGGCTCGGAGATAACCGTAAAGCGTTAAAAGCCTTAAAAATACAAGAAAACTGCTGGCAGGGGTACACCCTGCTCTCTCTGGATGGAGCAGTGCCTTGGAGACAGGCTGCCCGCAGAGCGGAGCCGAGGCCGGAGAAGTTCTCCAGCCCTTCGAAGCTTCCCCGCCCTGAGCCTGGGTATCAAACCGGCTTTTATTTTTTATTTTTTTCTTTTTTTTCTTTTAATTTCTTCCTGTGCTGGCACCGGCCCGGGAGGAACCTGGTCTGGGCTGGAGAGAGATGTGCTGTGTCTGGCCGAGCACGCTGGCTCCGGGTGTCTGCATTCTTCTGGCCGCTTTCAGCTCCTGCACAAATTGAGGCTTCACGCTAAATGCATTACGCTGTATAACAATTAATCCCGTGCTACATATAGAAAGTCCTTACTCATCAATAATGCATGCGGGAGGAGTGATTTTCACTCTCAGTAATAAGGCTAAGACAATGGAAACAAGCAGGTAATGGAGAACATTTATAATGATGTTAATCTAATAATGAGTCTGATGCTGTTAAAAGTAAGACTGCAAACTGGACGCATCCAAAGATAAATTATTTCAAGCATTCATTAACTGATGCCTAATTAATGCCCAATTAGAGAGATGCTACATGGGAAATGGTTTGGACAGTCGGACGAATTCATTCCAGTCGCTGAAACCTCAGTCAAAAGCAGGAGGTGGCAGAAGGACACGACCAGCAGAACCTGGAGTGACACAGCGCATCGGTGGGAGAGAGCCAGGAGATAAACACCCCTTTGCTGGTTTTATCCGTGTCAGCAGGGCTTTGTTTTTATTCACCTCACCGGCAGGTTTCTGCTGATTTTTCCGTGCTGCTTTTGAAGTTCACCCTCCCTGGTGAGCTCCCACACACCTGCTGGTGACCCTCCATCTGCCTCGCAACCTTTACAAGATGAAGTCAAAAGGGCTGCATCAGGAATAACGAGTTCAACCAGTTAGATAAGGTCTGACTCTCAGGGTACCAGGCCAGGACCTTGTGGGAAGCTCACAAAGGTGCTTTCCAGCCTGGGAAGTGCAGTGAGATCCAAGTGCTCTGGGCTGTCTTGTCCCAGTGGGGCTCGGCTCCTGGCCATCGCAGTGCTGGGCTTACCAGCTTCAGGAGCTTCATGGCTCCATGGCCACAGCCTGTTTCATTCCTGGATCTAAACTGCGACCGAGCTCAGGGCATTCCAGGAGAATCTTCTTACAGCAGTAGGTAATTGGCCAGTTTTCTGGCCTTGGAGGGAAAGCATCCTTGATTAGACTGTGTATCCACAGCACATCCACTTGAGGTGTCCATAGGTTTCTTCTTTCCAAGTCCTGCTCACCTATTTCTTATTTTTTCTAAGCATTCATCCTTCTGTTTGCCCATTCTCCTTGCCCCCGAGTTGCAGCACGGTGGTAGAAACACCTCCCTGGCTTTTCTTCCTACCATCTTACTCTGGGAGAGCTGAGAACCGGGAACACCCCAAACTATCCCCACTGCCCTCCACAACAATGGGAACAGTGTCCACGCTCCTGGGAACAGTGGTCCCAGAGCGTGAATGGGGAACTGAGGCACAGTGGGATGAAGGGAGAAGGTTCCTGCTGGGATTTTGATGTCACAGAATCACAGAATCTTCTAGGTTGGAAGGGACCTCAAAGATCATCTTGTCCAACCATCAACCTAACTGACAAAAATAGACACCCACACAACAAACAAGGAGGATCACCATCACTAAACCATACCTCCCAGCACTACATCAACCCGTCTTTTGAACACCTCCAGGGATGGTGCCTCAACCACCTCCCTGGGCAGCCCATTCCAATGGCTGATAACCCTTTCGGTGAAGAAATTCTTCCTAATATCCAGCCTGAACCTCCCCTGGCATAACTTGAGGCCATTTCCTCTCGTCCTGTCGCCTGTGACTTGAGAGAAGAGACCAACCCCCACCTCTCTACACCCTCCTTTCAGGTAGTTGTAGAGAGCAATAGGGTCTCCCCTCAGCCTTCTCTTCTCCAGGCTGAACAACATCTCCCTCTCCATAGGAACTCCCGCCATTAACTCCCAAACTCCTGTTAATTAAAGAGATGGACTCCGTTCCCTTTGACCTTTCCCTCCAGAGTCATCCCTGCAGGCAGGGAGCTGCTAAACCCCGCGCTCCCTTTTGGCAGGAGCCTCTACCTTGGCCGTGCTCCAGGGAGACCCAGGCTGCCTTGGTCCATCGCCGCGCGTTGCTAACGGCCTCCTGTCATCACCCGTCCCTATACGTGAAACCGTGTCTGCTCCGAGCTCCCTGCCCGGCTCCACCTCCCGTCAGTAATCCCGTTAGCCTGGCAACTGTCGTGTCACGGAAGAGCGCATAAAACTGTTGTTTGGGAAGCAATATGTAATCTTCCAACCTGCTGCTTAGAGCTGGGAGATGGTTTATTGATTCAGACCCTTGTGATTTGGTATTTGCAATAACAGACTCTGCATGTGGGAGATCGTCGCAGCGCCTGTGCCTGGCAGGATTTTCCTAATAAACATAAGACCTACAGAAGGTTTTTGTACTTCAGTGTCACCGAGGTAAGACGGGGAACGTGACGCCGTCCCACCTTGGCCAAGCACATCTGCGGGTGATGAAACCCAGCAGAATGGGTCTGCAAACCTAGCTTTGTCTTCACCGGCGTTATCTGGCACCTGGATAATGACAATCTCCTCAGGACACTGCTGTTTCCCGGGCTGAGCTCGCACGACGAACTGCAGGGAGGGCTCCCGTGTTGGCAGGGAGCTCACGGTCGTCAGCGCTGGCACGATGCTCCCACTGGCACAGCCCCTCCCTCGCGCATCACCAAGGCACGACAGCAAAGCCAAAATGGCACCAAAGCGGTGACTTGGAGAAACGTTCCTTTTCCTACACAGCCGTAGGAGTTGTCGCGAATTCAACGTTCCCGACTTACAGCCCCTTCCTGGCAGCGGCGCAGGAATGAGACATCCCTCCTGGTAGCCCATGCTTAATTTCTGAAGGGCAGTGCCTGGAAGAAATAACCACCCCACACACACACTTCTCATCACAGCCAAAGCTTGGTAAAACGCGTTGGCTAGCGATGCTGTGTTATTTTTTTATTAGCAGCCCAGTCAGAGATGACTGCCTCTTACTGGTGATTTATGGAGGGTCTGAAGAACCCAGTTTATCTAAAAATGTGACAGCTTTGAGCAACCTGCTCTAGTGGAGGTGTCCCTGACCATGGCAGGGGGGTTGGAGCTCGATCATCTTTAAGGTCCCTTCCAACTCTACCCGTTCTATGGTTCTGTGATTCTAACTTTGCGTTGAATGGCTGGGTCCAGATGGAGGGGTCACCTGCTGTTAACTATACAGTAATAGATCTCCACACCAGGCAAAAGGCAACAGTAACCACAGAGTTATATTTCAAACACAATTAACAAGAAAACAGTGAGGGATTTTTTTTTTTTTTTTTGCCTCCCACTTGCATTCAGCTGAAGGCGCTGAAAAGAGGGACTGTAAAAGCCCAAGGGGTCCAGGCTCATGGACTAGCTGGTGATAACGACATGGAGTAATTAGAGATGAACTCCACTTCCACTCTCGTTTTTCAGATTATTACAAGCTGAGTGCAAGGCGAGGACTCGTGGGCAGGATGGCACCGGCAGCTGTACGCTGCTCCAATTTTACTCCTTTCCCCTCTAAAGTCCAGAGGCAGAATTCATTAGACATGAGCAAATTTTGCGCGTTAAGAGGAAAAAGCCAAATCGGGGAGGAAAAACCTGAATGAGAGATGACAAGTCTGGTGCAACGAGTCTGAAAAGCCACTTGGCGTAGAAGGAATAGCCTGAAAGCAAGCCTGGTGCGAGGAGTGGGAGCGGAGACGGGAACGGGGCGGCGAAAGCAGCGCTCTGCGAGCTGAGCAGAGGGAGGGGATGATTCCTGCCTTGCTCACCGCTTCTTCTCCGCAGCGAGAAAGCCCCGGTCACAAGCACATACTGTAGCATTAGAGGATGCAATATGCTTTGCCACAGGACATCCATTTAAAAATATGTCTGAGCATCCCACTTCCAAGCGGAGTTTTCAGCTCAGCCTTTTCCGCCAACTGCCAACAACATATTTCCCTGCAAATCACTTGGTTCTTTCAGGGTGGATGGTGGTGTCTTAACAACTGTAGTAAAAGGGGGTGGCGGGGATGGGTGAGCGCCTTCTGGGGGTGGGGGGGAGCTGGGCGTGCCGTGCAGATGCGCTGCTCACATGTAATTTTAGGTGATTCACCGGGAATTGCTAAAGCTTCTTCCTCTGCCATACGGAAGCGCGGGCCATTCCAGGGACGTGTTACGGGAGGGATGGACGCCTCCAAGGGTTTTGCAGCTCCTCCTGTTTGCTCTCACACATTTCTACAACTGCCTTTCCCCCTCCCCGACCATGCTGCCTGCCTGCAGGCAAGGAAGGGGCTTTGCTGCCGGCGCTTCCAGTGTAATTTTCCCCCTGAGAAAGTTTCTCCTGGCTGTTGCGGGCAGGGCGAGGAGGCAGGGAGTACTCCACGCGTCGCGTTTCAACTACCGTGGGTGACAAGCCCACTCATCCCAGCTGCAGTTTGTTTCCGTGGGTAATTCATGAGCTGAGTTAATTGGGGGCGGGTTTTTTTGTTTGTTTTTTTTTTTTTTTCCACCCGAAATAGTCCCCACGGCAGCCACGGGTGGGCAAGGGGAGGGGGTGCCCGAGTCCCCGCTGACGCCGCTCTCCCCTCTCTCCGCACAGGGGGGTTTGCAGAGCTGCTGCTGGTGCTGCTGGGGCTGAAGGTGCCCGGCGCCCTGGGCTGCCCCACCGACTGCGTCTGCTACCCCTCCCCGATGACCGTCAGCTGCCAGGCTCACAACTTCGTCACCATCCCCGAGGGCATCCCCGAGGACAGCGAGAGGATCTTCCTCCAGAACAACCAGATCACTTTGCTGCTGCGGGGCCACTTCAGCCCCTCCATGGTCACCCTCTGGATCTACTCCAACAACATCACCTTCATCGACCCCAACACCTTCGACGGGTTCGTCAACCTGGAAGAGCTGGACCTGGGGGACAACCGCTACTTAAGGGCTTTAGCTGCAGACACTTTCCAAGGGCTGGTGAAACTCCATGCCTTGTATCTGTACAAGTGTGGGCTGAGCTCCCTCCCCAGCGGGATATTCGGTGGCCTCCACAACCTGCAATACCTTTACCTGCAAGACAACCACATCGAGTTCCTTCAGGACGATATTTTTGTTGACTTGGTTAACCTCAGCCATCTTTTTCTCCATGGAAACAAGCTCTGGAGCCTCCATCAGAACACGTTCAGGGGACTAATAAACCTGGATCGGCTGCTCATTCATCAAAATCAGCTGCAGTGGATTCACAGGCGGGCTTTTCACGACCTCCGAAGATTGACCACCCTTTTCCTGTTCAATAACAGCCTCTCGGAGCTGCAGGGGGACTGCCTGGCCCACCTGGGAGCCCTGGAGTTTCTCAGGCTGAACGGGAACCCGTGGAGCTGCGACTGCAAAGCCCGTTCTCTCTGGGAATGGCTGCACAGGTTCAGAGGCTCCAGCTCCAGCGTCATCTGCGAGTCCCCCGAGGCGATGCACGGCAAGGACCTCAAGGTGCTAAGAGCAGAAGACTTTAGGAACTGTTCGGGGTCCGAGTCGCTCCACCAGATTAAAACACATACTTTCTCCACGGCGGACAGAGGAGCCTCCAAAACCCACCACCCTCACCACTCCTCCAAGGAGAAAGGCAAGGCTGAGAACAGTTTGCACAGCAGCCAGCCCGCCGGCCCCCCCGGCTCCCGGCCGGGCTACCGCAAACCCGGCAAGAACTGCACCAGCCACAAAAGCCGTAACCGGACCTCCAAACCGGTGTCCTTGGGGCCGCGGAAAAACGGGCAGGAGATTCCAGACTATGTGCCTGATTATCAGCACAAATTCAGTTTCGGGGCGATGCCAACGCTCTCCCCCAAACGCAAGGGTAAGTGTACCCGCAGGACCCCCATCCGCCCCCCCAGCGGGGTCCAGCAGGCAGCCGGCTGCCCGGGGCTCAGGGCATCCCTCCTGGTTTTTATGGTGGTGTTAGCGGCCGTCATCCGCTGAGCGTCCCCCCCGGCTGCGGAACGGAGCGAATCTGTACTGCCACCAATCTACAAAGGACCAGAGTTTCTTTTCTTCTTCTTCTGTTTTTTGTACGTGGCGAGCGTTGGCCTGGCCAAGGGAGGAACGTTGTCTCCGGCTTCTGAGGGTCTCTCCGTGCCCGGCCGGGCTGCCAAGGCGGACTGTGCCGAATGCAGCGGGAGCGGATTAAAAGGCATTATCACACCTTGTCACAAACAGCCTGACCGAGCACCTACAACAACAACAACAAAAAAAGCCAACCTTACAAAACCCCAGATAAGAGGGGATTCGTAGCCAATTCGTCGGTGACAACAACCGGACAAATGGACTGTATCTGTGCTCTTGTGACATCCCCGTTCATTTGAGAGCGCGCTGAACGACCCCTCCAATTACCGAAAGGAACATAATTGCTGTAAAAAAAAAAAAAAAAACGATCACCAATTAAGCCTACACTGTTTCTCTGAAAGTGAGTGCAAGGACACTGATAACGATGTAATAAGGACATTGGTTCTCCCACGTTTTAGCCCCTTTGGCTCCAAACCCAGAGGCCAAAGTTGGCTGGGAATCTCTTGGAAGACAATCTTAAACTCCTGAATATCTCAGGCATTACAGCAGAACAGGGCTTGCCTGCTGGGCTTGGAGTAGCCAACAACCAAAGGAAAGACTGATTAGAGGTGGAATTAAACAAAAAAAAAAAACCAACAAACCCAACACTTAAAGAAATGAGGTACCCGCAGGAGGTGCGGGGTTTTTGTAACCGTGTTCACACATCTGAAAAAAAACAAACAAAACCAACCCCAACAAATGCACAGGCTCCCCCCTTCCCCTCAATTATCCATATGTATGTCTTATAATGTTTATAAACTATATGGAAACTATATCTTCAGAACTAAGGATTGTATTGTTGAATTTATAGCAGACCAGTATATGATTTTTTTTTTCTTTTTTTCTCGAGAAAACCAACTGGCAGCAGTGCCTACAGATGCTGAAAGCCATCGGGCGGGCTCAGTACGCGCGGGGGGGACCACAGCGGACCAATGTTCTCAGCAATTCAGAGCACTAAACTTTGGGAAGGGTGGGGAGGGGGGTGGTTGTATGCCGTGCAGCAAAGTCCATACCCAGAGAGCCAAAAACTCACCCTTTACATCCTAATTTGTAACCGGAGGGGAGAGAGAGAGAGAGATTAATTAGTCCAAATCAATAGAGCCATAGAGCTCTGTCTCCGGAGAGCGCTGCGAAGCCCCGGGGAGGAGAGGGGCTTTTTTGGGGCTGGAGGCAGAGAGGGGCTTCCCAGTGGTGTGAGGACCTTTATAGCTGGACTAAGGTTTTCACCAGGGCAGTAAGGAGCAGTTCCCAGGGTGCAGACAGTCCTGACAGCTTCAGGAGAGGTTTTTTGTTTCTTAAAAGGAACTGGTTGCGTCACGGGAAGAGTCAGAGAAGGGGGAAACTCATAGGGGACCGGCGAGAAGCGCAGTGCCCAGGGTGCCTGGTCCACCACAGGAGAGAAAAATAAATGGTCCAAGACAGCCATACAAAGGGGGTTGTGGCTAGTTGGAGGAGAGGGAGCAGATCTGCTTGTTCCCCTCGTCCCAAAATTAAACCCCGCGGCGGAGGGAGGCGTTTGCTGGTCGGGGGCACGGGGGAGCCGGTGGCATCACCCATGGCAGCCCCAGGGGCTCGGGGAGGTGCTGCCTCCGTTCTGCAGTCGGTGCGAATTCCTTGTCAGCGTGGATATGTGAGACCAAACAGACACTGAAGTTAATGAAACAAGGGAAATAAAAGTGATCTTGGACAAGAAAAGGCTGCTGTTCATTTCGTAACGATACCCCAGTGGCGGTGGCACGTTTCGAGCCCGTGGCTCATGTGTGGGGCTGGAAAGCCCAAAGGCAACGGCTCGTGTTTTCCATCAGATACACCACAAGCTTCAGGAAGAACGGGGCAGCTCGGGAAATCTGCTCTCCCAGCAGCTTTGGGGATGGGGAGAGGGTATTTACACAGTGGTAGATCCCCTGCAGGTATCTGGAAATGAAAAGGGAAACTCCCAAGCAAAAAAAAGGAAGAAAAATTCCTCGATGTATTTATTTTTAAGAGCAGTTGGGCACTGGGAGCAGGCGGCTGGGGGAGCACGGTGTTTTCTATCTGCCTAGCAAGCGAGGAGGGGCAGGAGCTTGGATGCTTCACTTTAAAATATCCTTCTTGGGGAATAGCCAGAGTAACTCTGGGAGGAGAAAGGAAGAGGTTACTTCATCAAGCCCTCTCCCTTCCAGCTCCTACCCAAACTTTTCTGTCTACAGGGCTCTAAAGCTCCACTAAAGGGATGTCCAATGCAGCCAGAACAAATAATCCGTGATCTGAAATAGCTCCCTCACGTCCTACTCTCTATAACCAATAGCAACTGAATGAGTCTGGCACTGTCCCTTAGAAGTGGAGAATGTTGTTATGTTGGTTATTTCATTTCATACTTTGGAAATCAAAGCTCTCAGTGGGAGAATGAAGAAGAGAAGCACTTTATTAATTTTTTTTAAGTCTGTGTGTAACTCCTGTAATATAGGAGTGAAATGTCAGCGCAGGAGATGCTAATGTTTTATAAATGATTTGGGTGCAGCAGGCACGATGGATAGTCTTTGAGATGAATTATATTAGAACAGACTACGCCTGGCTCAAGCCCATAATTGTATTTTTAGTATCTTTTCCTTTAACATGGAGGAAAAATAAAGGCAACTCCATGGTGTATTACGAGCCTTGTCAATCAAGCGCTCTAACGCCTAGCAATAAAGGCTACTGTTTAAAAACCAGAAGGGAGACATGATACACTGCTAAATAGGAGGTGTCGCTTGACATGGACTGTGGGTTTCTGATGTTCCTCCTGCCTCCCCCTTAGCTGCCGTCCCTCCCTGCGCCCATCCTTCCTCCACGACCACAGCTCTTTGAGGATAAACTAAATTTTTATGGCATGCTCTGACACTTAGCCTCAATAACTAACTTCCCATCTACATGGTTCAGCTCTGCCACGGCCCCTGGTTCACTCTCGTGTGGTTTTCCCCCAATCCCTTCATACAGCATGTCTTCATGCATTTTGAATGTTGCTCTGAGGGCTGGCATAAATCCCCTCTTCTCTGAAGATGCACTCCCCACAACCTCAAAGCACGCATCTCTCCAGTTGAGCAGACACAGGTATTGCCATCACTTGCCAGAGATAGTCTGTCTCAGGCTGGAGATAAATTGGAAATATTTGGGATTTAATCAGAATCACTCCCAGACACCAAAGATTTGACAGGGAGGTCTCCGGGGTAAAGGACTGAACCCCAAGGTGGTGGTAAGCACCATGGTCACTCTGGGACAATGCTGGGCAGAGGTCCACATGCTCCCATTTGGACAGGCTGGATCGATGGGCTGAGGCCAACAGCATGAGGTTCAATAAGGGCAAGTGTCAGGTCCTCCACCTGGGGCACAACAACCTCATGCAGCACTACAGGCTTGGGAAGAGTGGCTGGAAAACTGTCTGGTGGAGAAGGACCTGAGGGTGTTGGTCAATAGCCAGCTGAACATGAGCCAGCAGTGTGCCCAGGTGGCCAAGAAGGCCAACAGCATCCTGGCCTGTATCAGGAATAGTGTGACCAGCAGGACTAGGGCAGTGATTGTCCCCTTGTGCTCGGTACTGCTGAGGACCCACCTCAAATACTATGTTGAGTTTTGGACTCATCATGACAAGAAAGACATTGAGGTGCTGGAGTGTGTCCCGAGAAGGGCAATGTTGCTGGTGAGGGGTCTGGAGCACAAGTCTTGTGAGGAGAGGCTGAGGGAGCTGGGGGTGTGCAGCCTGGAGAAAAGGAGGCTGAGGGGAGACCTTCTCGCTCTCCACAACTCCCTGAAAGGAGGGTGTAGCAAAAAGGGATTGGTCTCTTCTCCCAAGTAACAAGTGATAGGACAAGAGGAAATGGCCTCAAGTTGTGCCAGGGGAGGTTTAGGATGAATGTTAGGAAAAAATTCTTCACAGAAATGTTTATCAAGCATTGGAACAGGCTGCTCAGGGCAGTGGTTGAGTCACCATCCCTGGAGGTATTCAAAAGACAGGTAGACATGGTGCTGAGGAACATCATTTAGCTGTGGACTTGGCAGTGTTAGGTTTATGGTTGGACTCGATGATCTTAAAGGCCTCTTCCAACCTAAATGATTCTGTGATTCTATAAACCTAAAACCCCTGCATGCTCCACAACTCCACCTGGGCTCCCCCAGCCGTGCCACCGTTCCCTTCCCAGCCAGGGGGGATCAGCCATGAACTGGTGCCCTTCACGATCACAAGCTCAACCTTTGGACGTGCATGGATTCCCCTCTCCGGGGTGCGGGCAGACAAGCTGCCTGTTGCAGACATGGTTAGACGCTGCCGATAGCTCCTCACAGCTCGGCTGCAAGTTCTAAACACCTCCCTTGGGGAAACGTGTCACTTGAGCATTTATTTGCTCATCGTTTTCCCCCTTCCTTGAGCGCTCTCCGGTCTGCCGCCCGCACCGCGCGCTGCTCTGGCAGACGAGACGAGTCCCCGCCGCTGTGGCTGCCTTCCCCTTCTTCACATCACTGAGCTTTAATGCTCTAACTTTGGGCTGCTCATGCAAATCCTTTCCATTAAAAAAATAAATGCCAGGGAACCCAGAAGAGACCCCAGACTGTGCCTCTGGAAACTCATCCCCAGCAGCAGAATCCCGTTTCCTGAGTCGGAGCCAATTTTCTCTCCGTTGTACCACTTTTCCACAATTTCATCCCATAATTGCTAACGTGGAGCTTCTCATACCTGCTTTGAAAACACAAACCATATGATACTGCATCTCTTTTATCCTCCCAGGTAGAATGAGAAGCAAACAATTTTTGGATATTGAGAATAAATTTTTAGTTTATCAGTCTAAACCAAGGCCATGAGTCCACCGTTTCTCCTGTGTTCCCTGTCACTTCCCAGACAACACTTGTGCTCCCCCAGCACCAATTTCAAATTATTTCTTTTGTCTCAGAAAGTTGCTCTGCGACGTGTACCCCCCTTTTCAAGGGACAGAGCAGAACAAAAGCATCACTTCATACTTCTCGTAAGCTAAGTAACACTTTTTTGTGGTCCTTCAAGTTCACCCTTCCCGAACTCCTCCATCTGTGTATGCTTTCCCTGCCTCAGCTTCAATCACACCCCCGGGAACACTTCCCAAGATCCCATTTCCCATTGCATGACCAAGAATATTTCCCTTTCCATTGTTTACCATCTCCTTGTGGTCTTGTAGGTTGACATCATGCCCCTGTTCCACCAGCCCTCTCTCCCTTAATGCGCCCAGCAGCCCCTGAAATCACAACTGCTTTGGTGAAACACGAGATCGCTGACACCAGAGGGATGGGAATGGTGATTAGAGGGATGGATGCTCTTGTGTTGCCAAGGGCATTGGAGTTTGTGGGTTACAGATGGAAGCAAAAGCAACTGTGAAAACAGGACAGG